TTAAATACATATATTATGTTCCCTTTTTTATTAAGTCTGCTTCTTCTACATAATATAGATGCAATACCGATTCTTTATATTACATATAATGCATACACAATCTAAATCCATATACATGCATTCTTAACTACAGAATTCAAATGAGCCTGTAGTGATAGTTGACGATCTTCCTGACAATGGTCAGCAAGAGGCGGAGCGTGTGAATCAATCAAAAATGTTTCGTGCTCGTGTTGCTGGCAATGTTGGCGCTCAAGCTGAGCAGCGCCTTGCATCGCGCATTGGATCCCGTCGTGAATCGTGCTGTGGAGGTGGCTATGGCGGTGGTAGCGGAGATCACGGTGCTGATGCTGACGTCGGTCGTTATTCACACGGAGGCGGTGGTGATGGCGGTGCAGTTGGCGGTGGTCATTATTCATACGGAGTCTGTGGCGGTGGCAGTGGTGGTGTTGGTCATTACTCGGGCGGATCCAACATCCACAAAAATCATCCGCAGCGTTCTGACGAGTTTATGATAGCGCAGCGCCTGCGCAACATGAGTGGCCCAACTCTGGATCTGGATCCAGTCAATGATGGGGAGGAAATTAAGTTCTCGGGACGCAATCGTCTGTATGTTGGCAACTTGGCCGGTGAATTGCAAAGTGAGAAGGGCTTGCGTGAATTGTTCGAGCCTTATGGCAAATTGGGCGATATCTACATTGGTCCCGATAAGAAGTTTGCCTTCGTTAAGGTCGAATATCATGCCAATGCCGAGAAGGCCAAGCGTGCCTTGGATGGCACCACGGCTGCGGGGCGAGTGCTGCGTGTCCGTTTCGCAGGTAATACAGCGATACGTGTCAGCAATCTGACTCCCTTCGTCTCCAATGAGCTGCTCTATAAGGCATTCGAGGTTTTCGGGCCAGTGGAGCGGGCAACCATTACGGTCGATGATCGTGGCAATCATATGGGCGAGGGCACTGTGGAGTTTTCCAAGAAGTCGTCGGCGAACATCTGCCTGCGCATGTGCCAGGAAAAGTGCTTCTTCCTAACTGCTGCGCTGCGTCCGTGCATCGTAGAGCCCAAGGAGATCATTGATGAGGATGGATTTCCCGAGAGGTCTATGAGCAAGACTACCCAGTTCAACAAGGAGCGCAGCTTCGGGCCACGTTTCGCTGATCCAAATTCCTTCGATCATGAATACGGCTCCCGTTGGAAGCAGCTGCATCAAATGTACAAAGTCAAAAGCGCAGCTCTCAAGCGCGAAATGAAGCTGGAGGAGGAAAAGCTAGAGGAACAAATTGAGCTTATTCGCTATGAGACCGAGACTCAGCTTTTGCGTCAAGGTTGGCATCAAAACACCTAAATATCACGTAATCAAATTATAATAATCCGTATTGTGAAACGTTTGCAGAGCTTCAGAAGCGTGAAGCAGACAAGGAACGCTTGAAAATGGAGTGGGAAATGCGCCAGAAGCAATTAATGGAGAAAGACCTGTTCGAGGAGGAGCGCCGTCAGAGCTTCCAGCTGCGTCAGGAGGCTCCGCTGAGACGTCGTCCGCAGGAGAGGCCCGTTTATAGATTCGATCAGCCGATGGGCTTTATGGGTGGCTGTGACTATGCGACTATGGAAATGGAAAGCAACCCGTTTGTGGTGTTTGAAGGTGAATTGTTTTGATCTAATACATTTATCAAATACTTTATCTAATGCCATATCAAATAGATGCACCAAATAATAATGATATCGGATCGGCTGGACTTAATCAGGTATTCAAAGTGATTTATAGATAACTAGTTTCATTATTTTTCAGTTATGCCTATGTATTAACATAATATCAATATATTTGTATATGTAATATTATATTATATGTATATATACTTACACGATTCCCATTTTAGACTGGCAACTTTGGCAACAATTTTGACGAGAAGAATCCTAATATGATTGAAGGCAATAATAATATTAACGATAATCCTCCATGGTGCCGACGCTAATGTAATCCTTGGAATCTACTTCAGAAAATGATGGGAAAATAAAATGAAAAACAAAGAAAAAAATACATATGCCAATGCACAAGAATTGTCAACATAAATATTAATATTGAACACTTAATAAAGACAAACAATTATTTGGTTCAGACTAATATTAAGCTTGATTATTCATGGGATAGTCGGATAGCTGCCTATATATATGTATAATAGTATATGAGAGTAGTGAAATATTATTATATATATTTTATTTTGTTTACATATGCTTGCCTCCGAGTAGTCCGCCTTTCCATATGTACTTCCAGATATATCAGCTATGCGCTGACTGGAATGTTGGATCCATTGAGTGGGACTGTGTGGATGGTTTTAGGGTGTGAGTGATCTTGGGCGATCAATACTATTTGAATATTATATATGTAATATAATTTCATATCTAAATTCGATTCAGACTTGAGCTAACAGCATATTGCTTGAACTCTAGGCTGTCACAGTTCTGTATTTAGGCATATCTCATTCTGTAGTCTATACAGCCATATGAAGCTGAGCAATTTCTCGATTGTGTCATTTGATTTACAGGTTTGTTGACACGCTGCACACATGTCGGGCCATCAATGGCAGACAGCCGCCTAGAGCACACTTGACAACGAGTTGATTGACTGACGAGCTGTCGACAGACAGACCGACAGACAGACTGACTAGACAGACAGGCATAAGTCCTCAAGTGCATTTGCCGTCTGTTTCGCATTCAATCTCGCATTCATCAATCTGCATAGTAAATTCAGGCTATTTTTTTTTTTTATTTGATTGCAGAAGATTTAAATTTGAAATGAAAAAATGTTTTATTTCAAATTTATTGCTTTGCACTTTTTATTTGCTGTATGCAAATGTTTTATGTTAGTTTTATTTGACCGCAGCGAAAACATTGCAACATTTAGAGGAATTACATAATTAAGCGCATTATATTATTTGCCACGCAATTAGTGTTGCGGCCATATATTATGTTGTGTGGTTGTAAAGTATTTTGCATTCAGTAATTATTTTTGTTTTACAAATTTAACATTTGCCATTTAACTACTAAATAGATTAGAGTAGCGAGAGTAGCGCCTAGCCTAGGCTAGGAGTATATGGGTATATGGGTAATTCGATTTCGTATTACTTATCAAAAGGCAAAAGTGGAATATATTGAATTTTATACTTATATACCTGATTTCATATTTATTATGTATTTATTTTTAGTGTTTCCAAACACTTTATATATTTATTTCTGTTTGAAAATAACAAATATTTACTCGGAATTCAAATTTAAAATATCTGGCATAAAACTTAGTGTTTATCTAAAAGAAATGTTATTTATTTATTTCCTTTGATATATTCTCGTTGTAAATAAAGTTTAGTTTTATATCAATCTAAATTAAAGAGACTTAATTTTAATTTATAAAATAGAAAATTAGAAAATTAAATGGACTTAATTTAATTCATTATTTTAATTTATATATATTATGATTATATTTTAAGCATTTGTATTTTTATATAGAGCTCTTTTTTTGATAATTAGGTCAGTGTATCAAACATATATTTATTATAAGCCACAATGATTAACAACTGCTGTTGGCAACACAACGCACTTCCCTCCACTCGTACCACGCTGCGTATGCTTAATGAGCGCACAGTTGAAACCTTGAAATGCACTTAAAATTCTTGGCTTTAGCATTTTGACACCGATTTTGGTTTTTGTTATCGACTTGTTTGGCTTGTTGTACATGTGTGTTTGTATGTGTGTGTGTTCCGTTTGTAAATGTGAAAATTGGCACACGTGCTGCACGCTGCATTCTGCATTCTGCGGTTTTCTAAATAACTCGCCAGCCGCATTTGTTGGGTTTACAGTTTTGCAGAGAATACCGCCCCGGCTATTTCTATGGCTGCCCTCTAATCACATGACCCACATATTGTCTTTCAGCTCCGGTCAAGCTTCAATTTGTTTTCACTATTTTCTAGTTTTTCAGATATCAACACACAGCGCACTTTCAGAACATTTGTGCCGTCATGTGAATTTCCTCATTTTACACATTTTTTTTGTAACCTTCAGGTGGCTTTTATTTCTTAGTTTATTTATATATATA